TATCATCTGCCTCCACAATATTTTATAGAATTAAACTCAGGCTTCTAGATATTCAATTTCTGTGCCTGACTGAGGCAGCCAGGAAAACCTGTTCCCCAGTTCATCTGGGATAATCCCAGACACTGGGCCAGACAGCTACTTATTTTTGTTCTCTAAATGATCACCAGCAAAGAAGGGCATTTATGTTAGCCAGATTTAACGTATTGCCATCACCCATCTTCTCTGGAAGATGCCAAAAAGTCCCCTATGAACTTAGGCAATGCCCCTGCGGTCAGGGTGCTATCGAATCCATTTCCCGTGTTCTTTTAAATTGTCCATTTTATACTAAGATTCGAGGAAAATTTCTGGACACCCTTCTTTTTACATGGTGTGGTCTTCCTGAGAGTATCAAGGTCCAGTTGCTACTCTCTGGGCAAAACGCTTCTATAACTTTTAATGTTGCTTGTTTTCTTCAATCTGTAATTCGATCCAGGGAAACTATTAATTGATCAGTTCATTTTTGTTGGCTGTTTGACAGCCATACCTTTGATGTATTCCTAAATTTTACGGTTATCTTATCTCTTACATGCCAATAAAGGTTGTCTGTCTGTCTAAGGGTAAAATTTGTACGTTTTCTGCGTAAATAAGTGCTGTCTGTCCATCCATCCATCCATCAATTAATTCATCCATCGATCCATCGATCCATCCATCCATCCATCCATCTTCTATCTAAACACACTTCTATACCTAGCAAATCCTCATTGGATTTTCATTGAAGCTTCAGCTATAATTTCTTCCTGGTAAAGTAGAAAACTTGATTAATATTAGCTGTGGTTAAATTTGGTATTGATATTTCCCTTAACCAGAGTTAAGCGGACTGGAGGAGAATTCACTCTTGAGAGAGATGGTGGTGAGATGAGAAAGTGTGGCCCTTTCCACAGCTGTTTCCTGATCTCTTAACCATGAGTAAGGAGGAGGCAGAATTGCATCTCTACCATCATAACTGATTGCAGATAATGGGTACAAATAATAGAAGTCTTGTTTTTCTGTGTCATGGCTTGTTTATTATGAGTTTCTTAGAGGCATCTGGCCAGCTTCTGTTAGTCTCACAGGAATTCATGTGGCCCAGCGAAACAATTCTTGTGTTTTGATGACCAATTGAATTACTTGGAATGTTGTTTTTTTTAAAGTCTATCTGCCTTTACTTGGAATTTGTTTCTTTCCCTTTTCATCCAAGGCATTTTATAAACGAGCAGGAAAGTGTGCATGAGAGAAAACACAGCAAATCAACCTTTGTTGAATTTATCTGTTTCTTTTCTTTAGTGGATACAGATCAGATTGAAATAATTTGTTGCTATATTGTCAATTTTAAGGTTGTTTAAAAAACAAAACAAAAAACAAGGAATGACCCCCCCCCATTTGTACTTTTCCTGACAGGATTTAAAATCAAACAATCAGCGAGATGACATTGCAGCTGCACGTGCTTCTCTGAAGGAAAATTCATCTCTCCTCCATTCAATTTGTTCTGCTTGTTTGGAACATTCGGATGTAGAATCTCTTGTAGCCAGCAAGGACTCAGTTTGCAATGAAATACGGAATGCACTAAATGTCCTTTCAGACGCTTCTCAAGGAATTGGTAATCAAACGATTCAGCCAGTGTCACCATCAGCCACGCTTGGAAGTGCCCTTAATGAACTTGAGGTGAGTGAATATGTAGCATTACAGTGTACTGTCAAGCTTGGGCCTCGCTTGCCATAAAATACTGTCCAGACAAACTCCTGGTCTGTTGCATTAGGGGTTAACTGCTTTCTTAAACATGCTTCTTTCACGGTTTAATCTCCCATGCCATTTATCTTCTCTCCCAGGATGGAGGGAGGGGGGAGTGAATGCTGGAGTGAATGTGTGCTTGAGCTTGCGTAGGAAGTATGGGACCCTGGAAAGCGCATGATCTCAGCTTCTCCCCTGACCTTGGGATGTAACTGTTAGTTTGCAAGTGTTGGGCCGGCCTGGAGGGTAGGCCTAGAGCTTTGGCAGGCCGAGTGCGAACATTGATTAGGTGGTTTGCATAGGGGGGCTGTCTTGCTTTTTGTATAGGGTCAGACCTGGCATCTGGTGGCCAGTTCTGACACAGAATTAGTCTATGCTTGGAATCTCTTTACCTCCCAATAAACAAATCTTGCTGCAATAAGAGTGTCGTGGGAGTGATTGAGTCCAGGTAATTGCACCCATTTCAAACCCTAGCAAGGTCATGCTCAAGATCCTACAAGCTAGGCTTTAGCAGTACGTGGATAGAGAACTGCCAGAAGTACAAGCTGGGTTTTGAAGAGGTAGAGGAACTAGAGATCAAATTGCCAACATTTGCTGGTTGGTTTATGTGGGAGGAGTGCCTTCCCTTCCCTCTCTGAGCCTCCCCACTATTGCAGGGAGACTCAGGGAGGGAAGGTGCAGAGGGGCTGGGCGTTTTTAAATACCTTTCTTTCCCCACCCTGAGTTCGGGGAGGGGGGAGAAAGGCATTTAAAGCTGCCTAGGCTCTCTGCCTTCCCTTTTCCAGCCACCCCACTGCTGCAGAGAAGGAATTGGGGGGGGGGGGCTGTTTCATACACTTACAAAGGCAAGATCTTCTTTGGGTGGCAGAAGAGTGAGCATGTGCCATGTGGGAAGGAGGGCTTCCACACAAAAGCCTTATAAACAGAGACAGGGAAGATTTCACAAACTGAGCTTCTGTGCATATATTTTTCTGAGTTACACACTTTGCCATTGAATTTGTTTTTATGTTATATTTATAAAGGGCAGACGTTTGAGACCAGATCCAGTTCCAACATGCATGAGTAGAAGACACTTGAGCGTAGGGTAGAGGCTAAACTTCTTTCTGGTAGCAGCCGCTGTCGCTTCATGGAGTGCCACTCCGGCGGACACCCCTCTGATAAACAGGGGACTTTTCAAGGGGTACTACAGGTGACTGCTGGGAAAGCAACTTACCCCCTCCCCCGTGCATTTGCCCAACACACTCAGTGACGGTTCTGCAGCCTCCCGGCTTTGAACTGAATCTCTAGATGTCTTTTGTTTGTAGGCTTCTCTGTCTTTTATACATGTAGGGCAAATGGCTGAGTGAGTTAGATAAAACAAAATGTATTGCATATTTAACCTTTTAAGAATGCTCTACAAATGAAATGGTTACATTTTTCTTTATTTATAGAGGGGCGGGGGGGGAAGGACCTGAAATAACCTTTGCTCTGTCTTGTTTTTGCATTGCAAATCAAGCTCCATGAAATAAATGGATGTAGTAAACAGTCTGTTGGGAGCCAACCTCATTAAATGTTTATAACATGGAAATGTATGAAAAAGCTTACTCAACAAGCACTGCTAGGAGCCTTTCTTCCTATCGTTCATTCCTAGTAAGGTGGAATTTATAGATGGGGAAAATCTGAGATGAATCTGGAGCTCTAGACTTGGCAGGAATTTAAGAATGCTACGGAGCAGGGTGATGATAATTTTAAAACTTGTAATGCAGTAGATGTAGTGACTGCACTTTATAAATCCTATAAAGGTAGGTGGGCAGTTATTCTGTAACATTCCATCCATTCAAAGAAAGGTGAGCCTTCAGCATGCCTACAAGTGCTTGCAACGTATGTGATTTGAGTTGGTTGACTCATGGAAAGTATGACTGCACTGGGCACTTCTGGTTTATAACTTGGGATGCTTCCCATCCTCATTTTTTAAAGTCAAACATGCTCTTAGAAGTCAGTGCTACTGTCTCAGAGTCCATTAAAAAGTAATTTGTGAAATGCAGTGCATGGATCGAGTGCTCAAACTTGCCCTACATTCAACAAAGACAATTGCACATTATCACTTTCCAGTGTTACTTTTACTCACTTTTGCATAATTAAGCTAGGTCTCAGAGACTGCTTCTGTTGTTGGATTTTAACCCAGGGACGCTTGAGGGATAACACAAACATTGTCTAAGCATGTGCAGATCTCCACTGTGATGAATCACAGCGAATCCTGAGTCGACATTTCTATCAATAAGCCTGAAAGGGCTTCCAAGCCGGAGGGTTGACTTGGAGGCCTTGCACGTCTGTCTACAATGGATTTCTTAGCATCTTAAGGCAGTGGAGCAATTTGTGGAAGAACATCTGTGTCTTATAAAAACAGTACAAAAAGAAGTCATTAGAGGCTGAATAGTCCTGGAGTGAGAAGAATGTCTAGACTGCTCAAAGTAGTGTCTGAATTCACTTTACAGTGAAAGTGTGGTGAACATTTGAAATGGTGGGGACAGACATCTGTATCCAAATGATTAACTAGTTGTGATAATAAGAGATCTAGTCACTGATCTCTTGCAGTTTGTAAACACACTAATAGCAACCTGGTATGTATGTGGGGAAAGAAGGGGTATGACAAGTCCCTTCTTGAAACAGAAGGGACCTACACAGCATCTCTGTTGAATCCAGGAAATCCAGTTGGTTTTGAGATATAAACCCTGTTATGTATGCAGACCAACACTAGGGGTCCGCGGCACAGGCAGGAGCTTGGCTCCCTTGAACAATAGGAACATAGGATCCTAGTTCCCCCCGACCCCAACCAATAGCCACTTTGGCGGGAAATTCAAACCCTCCAATGGACTAGGGGTGTGCTGGGTGGGTGTGTATATAGTTGGCCTTGCAGGGCTGTTTTAGTTAGTCTGATGTTAAGTACAATAAACGTGTGCAAACGCATGTCGTCGTCCGAGTCCTCCATGCGGCGAACCCAGTACTTTTCAAACCCTCCCCTCAGTTAAAGAAGATCTTAGGATAGCAAGTGTAAAGGCTTTGGGCTGCTGCTGTGAGGTAAGTTTTGTATTGAGCCTGAAGAGTACAGAGATCACTGAAACAGGAATCTTAATAAAACTACAAAGAAGATTTACTTATGTATAGGTTATGTGTTCAATTCTTTTTACCTGGTCCGCTCATCACCAGAGACAGGCCTCACAACTCAATCCTCTCTCAGAGGCAGAGTCAAGCCATTCTGTCACACTATCAGGCAGAGCTACACAACAAGTTGTCTGCTCCTTTGTTGAGACAATTCCCCTCTCCTGTCTGCAGTCTTCTCCAGCAGCTTTCACCCCCCCCCCCAAAGAAGATTGTATGCTGGAGCAGCACTCTTATAGGTTCAGGTGTCAAAACAGCTGGGTGGCAGTTTTGTCTCTCAGGGGCAGAACAGCCTCCTGCCTGTCACAATGGTTTAATCATAAGAAATAAGAAGAGCCCTGCTGGATCCAGGGTTGCCAGGTTCCCCTGGGGCAGCCAGCAGGTGATGGGGGTGAGCTTACTGGGAGCTGGGAGTTTCTTCACACATTTCAGCGACATGCCCACATGACTTCCAATGTGACCCAGTTGGGGTGACACTATGGTTTTGCACCCAGCTGAGACCCAGCTGAGCTCTGAGGTTGGGGTGACGCTATGGTTTTGGACAAAAACTCTATGGTAGAATTAGCTTCTACCATAGAATTTTTGCCCAAGATCCAGAGCACCACTGTGGTGTCCCTGATGTGCCTACATTACGTTTGGGTGATGTAGGCATGCCGCTGAAATGTCAGGTGTTCCTCCCTCATTTTTGGGGTAATTCCCCTGCAGGTCAGCTGATCCTGGGTGGAGTGGTGGAGCCTGGCAGCAGGGGACCCCCGGCTCCCACCAGGGAGTCTGGCATTCTTAGCTGGATCAGACCAGTGGTCCATCTAGTCCAGCATCCTGTCTCACACAGTGGCCAATCAGTTCCTCTGCAGGTCTAACAACAGGGCAGAGAAGCTGAGGCTTTCCCCTGATGCTGCCTCCTGGCACTGGTAGTCAGAGGAATTCTGAACACGGAGGCTCCCTTTAGTCACCATGGGTTGTAGCCACTGTCCTCCATGTTTCTATCTAATCCGATTTTAAAGTTGTCTATGCCTGCCTCTATCACTACATCTTCTGGCATCAAATTCCACATTTTAAGAACTCCCTTTGTAAAGAAGTATTTCCTTTTGCCTGTCCTGAATCTACTGCCCATCCCCATCATTGGATGCCCTCAAGCTCTGGTATTTTGAGAAAGGGAGAAAGATTTCTCTTTGTCAAATCTGTCCATCCCATGCATAATTTTATAAACTTCTGTCATGTCCCCCCATTGTTGTCTCTTTTCTAAACTGAAAAATCCCCAACTCTTCAGCCTTTCCTCATAGGGAAGGTGTTCCAACCCCCTAATCATCTTGGTTACCCTATTCTGTACTTTTTCTAGCTCTGTAATAATAGTACATCTCAATGTGGTTTTTAATTTTTTAATCTCTTCAAAGTCACATGGTTGTGACTCCACATAGATGCCATGTGGTGTGCTCCTAGTGATGTGTGGAAGCGGTACTATTAATATAACTATTCGGTATGACGTCACTAGGCATGACCCTACCCATGATATCATCAGGCCCAGTCTACTGAATCTTAGGGTCCTTGTGAACTCAGGCCCCTTAACCATAAACATTCCTCATAGGGAAGGTGCTCATAGAGGTAGCTGCTTAGCTTTCTTGTTTTTCTTTCTTTCTTTTTCTTTTTTAAAAAACAACTTTTATTAGGACAATACACGTTCACCTTATATCAACTCCAATATATATCCTTTTTTACCCTGTACAGTTGCTATGGCTTTTTTGCTAATGCAATAAATATTATTATTATTGTTATTGTTATTGTTATTGTTGTTATTA